AGAAAATTGTTTTGCTGTCAATTTGCAATTACTTTTCCTTTTAATTTAGATTACTTTGGAAATATCAAACATACTTAAACTAATGGTTTAAAAGTTAGCATTTTCGATAAACCAGTGATCCAAAAGTTAGGGTCTCCTACTTTTAACCATTACGCCACAGGTTCTAACCTCATCACATCTACTTCAGTTTGGGTAACCAGATAGTATCACCAGCCCATACGCTTAAAATCTAGCTAATAGTCAAGTATACGGATTTTTACTTAGCAAATGAGTTAATAAACATTGATTATTGATTCAATCTTAACCCTTAGAGGCGCGTGTTACCAGCGAAGAGTCCTTGAAAGCTTTAAAACAAGTAACGCCTAACACTTGTAGATTGTCATTGTTGTCACCTTATAACATACCAGAATTTGTATGTTTTACGCAAATGAAAGTGTACCGATTAATAGTCATCAAGTAACAATTTCAAATTCACTTGAAGTATTTTAGTGTGGGAGACTATCTGGTGTTTTTTCACTGATAGGCAATAAGTTCTTCATCTAAGACAGTGAACACTGAAGCCAACCTCATAAATATATGATAGTCATTCACAACAAATACCTTACTGCTGCTTCGTAGCGATTGGCGTGAATTTACTGTCGTTTTAAATTTACTTCGTATGTTTTTATCGTTCTTAACTCAGCGGCATAGAAGAATCCTATATTAAACAATATTGACCTTTGTGTCACACTGACACTTCCATTATGCTTCAAAATAAGCTTACGACGAAATATGACTTTTGTGGATGGAATATGTTCAAGGCATTATTTATTCATTAATAGTATATGAAAACCTTTGGTACATATCGCCAAAACAAAACGGGTCACACAACAAGTACTTTAAGCTACCTTTGGACACTAAATAACAATATTTTTGTAGAGTCAGTCAGTCAGTAACAACGTAGAACTTCGTACGTGCGTACATCAGTCCGAGTTGACACACCACATTAGCATAGAGATGCAGTGGTCGATTCAAATCCCGTAGTGGTAGAGGTAATAAGAGTATAAGCAGTAATCGGGAAGATTAGTGTTTGAAGATGTTATTAAAGAGTAAAATACAGTGAAATAAATTTGAGAAGAGAAAAAAGAGACAAGGAGGAATAACGAGATCAAAATTTGGGAGAACACAAAGAGTGGATGCACCTGCGCCATTGCAAACGATTTTGAGCCATGTCATTCAGGGTCTCTAACCATCGGTTGCTATCATCTCGCGGTCCCCAACTAGGTAGTCTACACCTACCAACATGACTCAGACCACTTGTCAGTGACTTCATGGACTTGTGCCATGTTTTGGTCTGGCCGCCCCTAGCTTTCTTCCAATCTACTCCTATACCATTGAGCATCGCACGTCGAGGCAGTCGGTCGTTGGGCATACGTAACACGTGTCCCAGCCATCTCAAATGATGAAGTTTCACTACGTCATCAATTGATTTGCCATCCTTACCTAGTACCCGTATCCTAACAACTGCATTACTTACTCGATGGTCCCAGGATATACGAGCAATATTTCGAAGACACCTATGATCAAATACTAGTAACCTACGAATATCCTCTACTCTTACCGGCCATGTTTCACTGCCATAAATTAGGACGGAACGAACTGCTGCGCAGTAAACACGTCCTTTGGTTGATAGACGGATATCTCGCCTACGCCATAAATGACGCAAGTTGGTAAAAGCTAGTCGAGCCTTCTGTATCCGTGCTGAGATTTCGTCACACACTAAACCACAACGGCTGATGAGACTTCCAAGATAAGTGAAGCGATCGACACACTCAATTACTTCACTCCCTATCACTACTTCGGGTGTCGATGTAACCCAATCCTGAAGCAACATTTTGCATTTCGAGGGAGAGAATCGCATCCCGAACATGCTTGCATTGTTGCTTAGAGTGGTCAGAAGACTCTGCATTTTGTCAGCGTCTTCACCAAATAAAACTATGTCATCTGTATATTCTAAGTCAACAAGTGAACCTCCCGGTAGAAGTTCAACCCCTGGAAATTTAGATGAGGAGAGTGTTATCTCTAAAAGCACGTCGACTACAAAGTTGAACAAGAATGGGGAGAGTGGACAGCCCTGACGAACACCACTTGAGGTAATCAATTCTGATGACAGTTCGCCATAAGCTCTTACTCTACCAGTTGCTTTAAATAACATCTCCAAACCCTAATCTTCCCGATTACTGCTTATACTCTTATTACCTCTACCACTACGGGATTTGAATCGACAACTGCATCTCTGTGCTAATGTGGTGTGGCAACTCGAACTGATGTACGTACGTACGAAGTTCTACGTTGTTACTGACTGACTGACTCTACCAGTTGTGTTCGAGTAGAGAGCCTTTATAAGGTTAATGTACTTCTTTGGTACTCCTTTCAGTGACAAACACTGCCATAGAACCTCACGATCAACAGAGTCGAATGCCGCCTTAAGGTCGAGAAATACTACCATTGTGGGGCGTCTGAATGTGTGTCTGTGTTCTAGAACCTGACGTAGTGTGAATATCTGATCTATACAACCACGTCCAGGTCGAAAACCAGCCTGGTTTTCTCTAGTCTGCTCTTCACGAGCTTTGTTAGGCGTCGAAGTATTATTGAAGCTAATATTTTAGACACTATATTAGTCAAACTGATTCCTCTGTGATTGTCACAAGAGGACTTTTGTCCTTTCTTATAGACTGGCACAATCAGTGATTGAGACCAGTCAGATGGGATTACGTCCAGTTCCCAAATTCTACCTAAGACCTCAGTTAATCTCATTGCTAATACTGGACCACCATCCTTAAAAATCTCAGGAGTAAACCTGTCAGGGCCTGCTGCTCTCCCTCGTTTCAGATTTCCTATGGCTTTTTCAACTTCGTAAAGAGACGGAGGACCTACATTAACTTGCCATTCAGGTTGACTGGAGATCGTGGGAAACCGAAGTGTGGCTGAAGGCCAGTTGAACTGATCCCTAAAGTGTTCTGCCCATCGATCCAATCTCCTGGATTGAGAATGAATAATATGTCCATCTTTCTCTGAGATTGTTTCGCTAACAGTCGGTTTCCTTAACGAGTCTGAACAATTGTCTGCTATTACCTATTGCCGCTGCCTTTTCCATCTCTCTTGCTTTCGCTACCCACCACTGTTCGCGATCATTGCGTAGACTTCTTGTCAGCTTGCGCTTAAGCTGACTCCGCTCTTCATTATGTTCAGAGCCAGGTGGAATGAGTTTCCGAGCATCTATCAGTGCGATAGATGCTGCTGAGATCCAGTGTTGCTCCCTAACCTTCTGGTTTACCTTACTAGCAGATATCACTGCTGTTTCCACAGCTTTTCGGATATCATTCCATGCTGCATCGGGGTGGGCATCACATACATGGCTGCCTAACTGTTTTCCTAGTTGTTCCTGAAATATACTCTTAGCTTGACTATCATTAAGTAGGCCCTAAGAGGTTTCCTTGCAGCGTCTTTCCTACGTCCAGTAAGACGCAAGCAAATACGCGCTCGCACTAGAGCATGATCTGAATCTAGGCATGTGCTCCAGAATGAGCGACAGTCTTCTATCGAGCCCCTCCATCGGTGGCTGATAGCGATGTGATCTATTTGGGTCCAACGTTGGGACGAATTAGGGGGTCGCCATGTTAAAAGATGTTTTTCCTTATGCTTAAAGTTAGTATTTGCAAGGAACAGGCGGTTATCTGAGCATAGCTGCAACAGACGGTCGCCATTATCTGTTCTTTGAGCCACGACACCATAAGATCCACCTAGGTGTCTTTCCCTATCGCTTAGTTTACCTACTTGAGCATTAAAGTCACCGGCCACTATTACTACATCCGAGCGCCTAGCTTTTCGGAGAAGGTCGGAAAGCTTTCTGTAAAACTCATCTTTTACATCATCTGAGCTGCAGTCAGTGGGAGAATAGGCAGAGACGACGAAGAGGCAACGACGAGTGTCCCTATCTTTCCGGATTCTTACTGTTCCGTTCAGTCGGACAGCGCACAAACGACTGTCTACTGGGATCCACTCTAAGAGAGCTAGTTCTGCCCTAGGACTCAATGCTATACCTACGCCGGCGAGGCCACGGGAAGCAGAATCAGGGCTTCCAGATACACGAAGCGTAAATCGAGTCGGTTCTTTATTTTGGCATGGTGAGGTCAAATGAATGACGCTACTCGGATCCTGTATGCGCGTTTCGGAGACGCAGCACACATCGATGGCGCGAGATTCTAAAGTTAGCTAAGGAAGCCTGCTGTCCTATTTGGCACAGTGTTCGTACGTTAAAAGCTCCTACGTGTAGTTTAGAGCGTGGTTTCAGGAGACCAGGAATGGCGTTCCACGTACTCGAATCGTTTGCCCTAGCGGTGCGAGGTGATAAAGAGACGTGAGGAGGGTTAGTCATGGAGATAAGAGAGGTATTAGGAGGTGTAGGAAGGATTTGAATGTGACCACTTGGTCTCGTGTGCTGTTACGGGTATGAGGGCTGATGTCACTTCCCGGCTGCCCACACCGTGGAAGGGTATTTCTTGAGGAACCTGAAAAGGAAATTGGATTAGTGTTGGTCTTGACGACCTGGGAGCGTGACCGCAGAGCCCAAGGGACAACTGCTTGAGGCCGGTCGCGCACGGCCTTTTTGTGGAAGGTTTTTGACGTGTTAGCTCCGTTCTTCAAAGGGCCTTACCGCCGGAGACGGAAATCCGTGAGGTAAGGTGAGGTGTGACATTTTTAGGGTCGACCTTTTCTAACCCCACCCCTCCTTGTGGGAAGGCAGCATCGCTGTCATGCTGGTTGTCCGAGGGAAACACCTTACTGCTGTCACACCCCTCTACAGTCAGCAGTACGACTTCGCCCTCAGACCTTGAGTTGCTGCTTTTAGTCTTACCGTTCTCCAATCGACCTGCCTGGCATGGTAGAACCTACAGGAACATATGTTCCAGCCAATATAGCTCGGTTGGGTCATCACGATAGGCAAGCCCGACCACCGCGTCAAGGTAGCAGCTTCGGTCGGGATGAATAAAGTTTCTGATCAACGACGGACATTTCGATGAGTAATCAAACTGAAATTCGGTGTAATAACTTGGTATTTTTTTCATATTTTTGTCCACAACTAACTATTCTACAACGATAATGATAAAATGTGAAACTTTAGGTGCACTTTATATCTTATTACAGACATAGATATCACCACGATTATGAGGTAGGTATTAAATGATCGAAGTAAAAAACGACAGGTATCCAATCTCATAAAGTATTGGTGAGTTTAAAATTAGGTAGATTAGGTACTTGTACAAAACATTAACTACATAGCTACGGCATAAAAACATTTTTCAATGTTGCTCATAAGGTATACAGGATTATTTGCACAAATTAAGATGCAAATTAGTTAACCTGAAGGTGCAATCATGAACTCGGTAAAATCATCATATAACACGTTAAGTGCTGATGGATGAAATTTAGAGTAAACAGGGTAGAAAATCACGAATAATGAAATAAGAATGTAGATTAGAGAGTAAATTTATAACGTACACTAGTTCATTTAAATACAGTCAAAAACTGTTATTAAACTTTTATTACAAGCAGTGTTACAGAAAGAAATGAACTGGGAATGTGGTTAGATGCATAAAAAGCGTGAGCTTAATATTTTTACATTGTCCGTAAGTTAAGGATCCGTTTTTAGTGAATACGAACTATTTACGTCCATCAGATTAGAAATTACACGTAAATGAGTGGTTGATCTAAGAAATAATCAAGAAATTAACTACATGCGGTACAGAACTATAGTCAACTGAAGTAACAGTAGCAGACATACATGTTTACACAACGTGCGACTCACCGTAGCTACCAGCGAAACTAAAGTTGTTGCTACTCTTTGAGGCGAGTAAGCAATCAACATGGAAACAGTAGTACATACAAAACATTTGATGTTTACAGACAGTTATAGTGGGTATGGTGGACCTAGTGACATTTTAATAAACTTTATAATAAATAATTAGGATCATTTTCATTGGTATTGGAACTAAATATAATATTAATTGCAGTGTACTGTTTTACCTCATCTGTTAATGAGATGTCATCAAAAACCGCATCGGAGTTGACACTTGAAGCAGACCAACCACAACGAGGAGAAAACTCAGTAAATTCTAAACCACGACAGTCAAATTTTGCAATGGTTTTGAAATGACCAGAATCGTCAAGTGAGTATGGAAGTACGCTACCAGGAATAATATCTAAAATTTGGGAACATGGAAACAACCTGTCTTAATGACTGCAGTTTTATACATAAAAAATGTTAGTCTATATTATACTAAATGCAGAATAGGCGGTAAATACCCGCTTAAATGATTGAGCAAAAAGCAGATCTATTTATTTAAAAAGCATTTACTGGCCCAAGATTCGAGATGTTTCGTTGGTCCTTAACTAAAATTGTGAGTTGAGAACAATCTGACCAAACTTTATGGAAGCCAGTAGTCATATTGCATACACCTGGAGGTATTTGAAAAGTTTAACTGGCTTAAAAGATTTAGAAAACCAGGTTAGTATTTCAGACTATTGTAAAACGATGACTTAGTGGTTATAGTACACGATTTGTAACTGGTTGCCTTTACATACAAACATGTTTTTAGTAACATCAATCGGAATGTTACTAACACTTACGTATTGCGATTCAAGGCTGAATAAATGGATATTTACATGATTAATGAGTTGCTTTACTTTCTCTGGAAAGGCTGTTGACTATAAAACAATGAGTTGTGGCTTCAAAATATATTTCGTCTATCCAGCAGAATTTCAGGAATCCAACAATACAACTAGGCCAGTTACCAAAAACGTAGCAACAACTGTAAGAAAAATAAAGGGCTAAGCAGCACTGCTTTATGTTTTATCATATTTGGACTTACGCTACATGTAATTTTAAAAAGAAACATTCCCTGTTACAACAAGCCTCATTGACATCACGAAGTCATGTCTATATTCAAGTCATCATAAAATGTAGTCTCTGAGTCGATTTTTGGTCATACCTTGGCACAAGTGTGGAGAGGGTTGTTGTGGATTCCAGAATAACTGAATAAATCACTAAAAACTACTACGTAATTTACATGTGCATAACATTTACGTGGGATAGGGTCAGAGTGCTAACATTGAAAGCTTATAAGATCTCACCATCAACTCAATGGAACGATTTATCAAAAACTATGGTTCGGTGGTTTAAGTGAAAAATGGCAAGAAATGTGTACTGTGGTAGCTATCCACCAAGTCGCTTTACAATAAGTATTTACGTGGACCACAAGTGGAACAAGCCAATGAGCTTTTGCTGAGACGTAAGTTCCACTCAGCAATAAGCAGTCAGTGAATTATAAACCTCTTTTAGAATCTCATGCCTTGAAGTTTGAAAGATGCACAACATATAAACAGACTGCATACCAGCATTTGAAACTCGTTTACAAAATTTACACCGGATTACTAAATTCGCATCTCCGCGACTGTCTTGAATTGGTGTCTTTTCCTGAAATTGTTAGAGGACATGCGCTCGCCAACTTACTACACTGTTAATGTATACATAATCATGAGTATTTTCGCCGCAGTTCCCGCACTTTACCTATTCGTTGTCAGGTCGAGATCATAATTCGAACGTTCGTACCTTTAAATACCAACGAAAATCATCACATGAAGGACTTAGATTAGTGACATTCGTAAGTTCACAACTAATTTGCACACCAAGTAGCTTAGAGATGCTATTATTCGGTTTATTAAGACTTACTACCATTAGTATTTTTGGAACAATTGGGCTAGTAAGATTTTAGATGGGGATTCAGTCACATATAGCTTTGATCAGCATACGTATTTCACCGAGAGTGAAGCAAAACGAGTATTAACAAAATCAGAAGATGACCTTGACTACCTCAAACTCCCTCCTGATTAAAAATTATTCTTGATCTGAATTTTTTACTCAGGCTTGTGTGAAAAGAAGAACACATAGCACGTTAGAATGATTTTAGATGGTAATACGCGAAGTGGATGCTTTATTCGGGAGCGGCGTGTTTTATGATTATTATTTTGGAGAAATGATATCTCTAAATGTTTTAGTATATGAAAACATGTAGAGGAAAGTTTGTCAAATTAATGTATGTCCCCTGGGAGATCGAAGGTTTTCGCCTGGGTGAATCCGCAAAATTTTATTGAATCACTTGGGGGTGTGTACGAGTTCAAGATTTGACTACTTTCAAGTAGTAGAAAAAAATATACAGCCTAACCTGATATCCTTGGCCTCAGGGTAGCGAATGCTACTCTGAACTTTGGTGTTGTGACTGAATTTTATCGGCCTTTACAGGATATAACCATCTTCTGAACCCTTGATATATAGGCAGTTCCCATATTGTTTGTTCCAAGACAGTAGTAGTACACCTCTATGTTTCTCACATCCTTATTCAAATAGATTCCATATTTCCTTGATGGTGCTTGAACTCGATCTCAACATAAAATGTACACTCCAACAAAAATTGTTGACAAAGCGAGGAGGAACGATCGAAAACTTTTAGCGGTTAAGCTCAAGCGGGCGAAAATTAGTGTGTTTTATCAAGTGAAGTAGTCTAAAAACTTTTGTTGTGAAGATGACACAGGTATTCAGTGTTTGACAACGCTTTTACCAGCAACACCTTCTAATATGATTTGCACCCACCAAGAGAAATCAAAAGACAGAGTCGAAAAGATCGGAAGAGTGTATTTGGCGATAACCAATATATCGGAATTCTCTGATCTAATCTGGCAAGCGATTGCGGCAGATGTTGAGCACAACGTTACCACACGTGATCTGATGCGGATGCATGACCGAGCGCCTTAATCTAGATGAGTCCACTAAAATATATGGTCAGCATCCAATGTCGAAAACTTACAGAGCTATTTATTTTAGGGATTTATTTACCGCTTTAGTTGGCTTTTATAGCATATGTAAAACAGGTGCTGTAAGTATAGGTGTTCGGTTTGTGTTCAAACATATAGTTATCAAGCCTACTCTTACAACAGTCAACTAAATTAGCTATAACTATCTCTAAAAGTAAAGTCTTCCTCTGAGATAGCGATACTGTATAAGTTTCGCCGTAGAGATTCATGAACAAATTTAAGGTGCTTTTTGTAGGACCTATATTAATCGCTTCCATAGAAATTTCTAGGTGCTGGTCACTATATAGAAAATACGACTTTTATTCACTTGATAATTCCTTCCGGACTTTTGGTTGTCTCCGGCACAGATTACCCCTAGAGTCTACAAGATGATAAAATTTGATAAATAATATCATTGCGAAGAGCTTGCGTAAATTTGAGGACGGCTCACGGATAAATTTGGGGAATCTCTAAGAAGCTCAGAAAGAGCCGAAGACGTTCCACCTAATTATCATTTAGAAGGACATTTTAGAATCTCTACGTGTAGCTTACCTATTGGACAAATTATAAAAAACCGAAGTATACGAATTGGATGACTGTAATGTTGATTTCGCTTTTGCTAAAAATTATAAATACCTGGAAGTTTTGTACCATATTTGACACTGTTTAGAACAGCATTTCTTGTTACTCGTCCTCCGTCTTCTCATTTACGATTTGAAGGGTTCTAGCGTTCGAGTGCTCCAGTAGTACATGGTATATCAAGAATCTAGGCCCTAGATATAACAGTAAACCAGATCATTTCTTTGAGCTCAAGCTTTGGGATAAGGTTACATTTCGTCCCAGTATTATTCGAAGAGAGCAGTCAAGACATTTTACTAAACTAGTCCTGGTGAATTCAACTTGTCATTAGCTTATGTGAATGAGTTTGTCAATACATATATCGGCATAGTTGCTTCTCAATATTTAGGCCTTATTATTCTGACCACATCGGCTTCTTTCCGAATACATGGAAAACTGTTAAACAGTCATATAACTTAATGTCTATTTGTAGAACACTTCGAAAGTTTTCGCTTCGTAACGTAAGACCGCGAACTTCTGCTATTATCTCCTAACCACACAATAATGCCAAACCAGATCATATCCATACGATCCTACGAGAGTGTTCAGTTTTACGTGTGTGATGGCGAGTGCAAGTGTGATTGTTCAGCAAGTATGGACAAACATGCTTTCAACCTTGTGATTCCCTTTCTTTGTATTGATTTCAGTTTTGAACACAATGAGTGTGAATACTTGGATTTGTGTGGAATTAAGTAGTTGTGGTGTTTGAGCGAACTAATGATTCTTTTGTACTTGTTGACTGCTCGATTTAAAGTTCCAAATACAATACATTCGTTTGTGCTTTTTTCCTAATTCTTGATTCAATTGCGTTATTTCCGGGATTCCTAGTTTGTACTATAATTCAAATATTATACTGGCGTCGCGATGGAGCCTGCGATTGAAAAGTTAGATATCCATTCAACTTCTGAGGCTTTTGAGGATTACTTTGAAAGGTTCGAAATCTGGATTAGGACCAAGGAAAATGATTAGGATGTTAATATTGTGGCACATTTCCTCACATTCATTGGAAAAGAAGCATACAGCTTATTAAGAACTCTGGCTATGCCGGAAAAGCCTATCTCGCTTCCTTATACAACTCTCAAGGAACTGCTATGTCAATTATACAAATTCCGAATGCGGTAAGGGAGGAAGATCTCGTAAAATGATTCATGAGAATATAAAAAACTCCACTGCATTTCGTCATCCCAAGTCAGTGCATACTCAAGGTTATGCAGATAATCCATTGAGGAGTTGCGATGCATTTCATGAAGATGGGCATAAGTTTGGTCAGTGTTTGTCCTGCGGCAAGTTCCACTCTTTTAATTCATGTAAATTTCGTAATTCTAAGTGTTTTAAATGTGGTTATATTGGACATATTCAGTCAGTCTGTAATACTGATGTTCATCTTATTGCAACTAATATTAAGTCTTGTGATTCTGATTCTACTAAGTCGAGTACTTATAATGATGATTTATCTTTATCAACGATTGCAATAGACAGTGTAGAGTCATATAGCAGTTCAAAGTTAAATGAAACGCAGAATTCTTGCGAGACAACAGTTTCTAACTAATCGGTTTATCAGAATTCTCATGTTATTGTACCAGGTATAGCTTTTCCTAATGATTCACATATTTCTGATGAAATTCCTTGTAAATCTGAAGAAAATATGTTGAGCGAACATAACGGTTCCATTTAGCTGGTCTATTCAAGAGTTCCTCAAAGCGTTCCGCCCATCTGTCCCTTTGGTGCTGAATCTCCCCGTCAGTTTTTAAGTTGTGTCATATATTTGTCTAATTTTATTTGCAAATTTCCTTAGTAAGTATCATTTTTCTCATATTTTTGGGACGCAAGTTTGAGGCATCGCCCTGGTTGTATAATGACAAATCCAGCTACCTTTAATGGGTATTTGTCGCCGTTTTAGTTTCAAACTAGAGTTCGTCTCTGCTAGTGGGTTTCACGATTCTCGATCTTTCTTCTAGTTGTACCCCAAACCACGAAAGTTACTGTCGGTTGTTGTATTATATTCATTTCTGGAAGAAATAACGCATTTGCCACCTGATTTTCCTAACAATCGATATGTAACAACTTGGGTTGATTAGTTAGGAGTTGACCTCAAGCAACTAAGGATGAAACAGCCGTCCACTGCTACCAGGTTTTCCACGATGGTCCAGCTTCAATTGACTCATGATCTCAACTACTGAAATTACTAGAATCTCCACAAACCCCCTTTGAAATTAAGTATATGTTTAAACATTGGAACTCAAGTATTCATTCACTTCCTCATTTTGTACCGGCATTATATTTCTTATTATCTTAGATTGAATGTTGAAAGGTCTTGTGTGTTTGAAAAGGTAACCTCCCGCTCCACTGTGACTGTACCACGAATAAAGTAAAGACCTATTCACTACCAGCCTGCTTTCTTCTATCAACAGGACGAGGGCTACCTACAGGGAGGATAGGCATGCTAGATATCATTGGTGAGTTGTAGTATTTGGTAAGGGTATCGGACCTCTCGAGGAGATACGTGACCTACTCCAGTCTTTAATGCACTGGTTAGTGGTTCATGGTACGTACAAACTGTGGATTCCCCGCCTTCCTAACGTGTGTCAGAACTGTCCAATTGTCAGGTAGATTGCGAGAAGTTTTCGACCTATGTTTAAATTACTTTTCGAAGGTTGAGGGTTGGATTTGTTTGGATTTAGAAATTCCGCTAGTATATTCTGGAACTTAGCATTTGTTACTGGCGGAGTAATTTGGCTTGTCGTTGTATTGATTCCTAGCCACTCAAAGCTGAACATATAATTAATTAGAAGATTGACACTAAACATGTAACTCTTGGAAAAGATAGAGAATGTTGAATGCGGAACATTTGTTCGGTATAGCATGGCTTGACATCGCGAGCATGAGCATTCTGTGAAACTTATCCCCATTCCAATTAAATATATTATTCTACCTCCGGTCCAACTGTATCTTTCAGAAGTGCTAAACATGTATCACGGATTGCCACGATAGGACGAGTCGAGCTTTTTGTGCTAGGCTGTCAAATCAAAAATAAATTTGGCATCAAATTTATTTTACAAACAACAAAGACAAGTGCGCTAATACCAAACTAGATCATAATTCTACAAACTTTCGTTGCCTTCAATGTAATTTAAACTTTCTTTATTAATGTCGAGCGGAACTTCATATCTCTTAGTATTGCAGATCCACTACGGTGAACACCAGGGGAGTCACTTCTAAAAGTATTGAGGGAAGGTTTTTGCCCACATGTCGTGATCTTAGTCTTATTAACAGCTTGAAGTGTAACTCGGGAAAATACTCGATTCAGCCTGACTTTGTTCTGTGGAATTATACTAAGTGCAGCACAGATATCCGCCCAGGAGTTCAAACTAGAATTTCAGTCCCTAAGTTTTCGTTTGATCTGTTGTTTAGGCATGTTACACGTCCGCACTCGTAATCTTCGACTCAAAGAACAAGTGAACCAAATTCCGTTTTAGGTACATACGGTTTATTCGCAAATCATAATCAATCAAGCCAAATATATTATCTGGATAACTGTTATGGGGGTTAAACAACAGACGTTCAATTTTTGGGTTTACGGAGCGAAATTTCAGAGACACCAAATCTAGAACAGTTTAAAACCGCAAATGCCCGAAGTCAAAGCTACAAATAAACAAATTGAAAAGTTTATAAAACAAATATACTCGAAACGCAGTCAAGTTGGCGGTATTGAATATGTAAGTGACTAATAAGCTAAATATTTTTAGTTCCTTCTGAAACAGCTATTCACAATGATTTATGCACAATCAGATCGTGAGATTTATAGGAGCTTTCAAATTTGCGTGGATTTGTAGATCACCAACATAGATGATCTATGTCGAAATGATTGGAGGCCTACTCGAGTTGGACGTGAATGGTGTGACAAACTAGCTAATGTCGAAGTCACACCTCGTGGTTAGCACGTTACGTGGACTACCCCATTGACGTATCAAGGTACCATAGATGCTTCGAAGACTGTACAACACAGAGGACGTTATTACAGAAATATATTAGTTAAGGTAGATACAAGCGAAAGTAAGACCACTGCCGCATGGGCCAGTCCATGGCATACGATTAACTAATGCGCGTTGGTTGTACATGACCTTGGCAGGGAGCGATGATCTGTTTGACATTCAGTGATCCGACTGCCGGATGATTTGGCTAGGACTCAGTGACATTTCACTGGCCCTACAGATTCACTCCCAACTGTCAGTTTCACGTCTCAACGCAGTCTCCGTAAAGCGCGCATTCATATGCGAGAATTATTATACCCCATACTTTTATGATCTATGTGCCTTATAAAATATCAAACAAACTGAGTAATCCACCACAGTGAAGACTGTATATTTACTAACACTTTGATCATGCCTGTAAACCAACATACCGTATGTGACAGACTGTCATTTGAGAACAAATTATTATCATCCAACTGAGTAGACCAGTCTAGTTGTTTTTTGCAGTAATCTTTCGCGAAAGTGTAGTGTAACGAATTGCTCGGGGTTACTGTCTATTAAAGTCTTTATGTTATTGTAGGTAGTGATCTCAGAACCATAGGCGACTGGGTAGCGGCCGCTTCTAGTTGTTTTCCGATTTTGCTGAGGAATCTTAGGAGATTTAGGGAACCCCCATGTAGACATGTTCAGAAGGTTATGCAAGATTACAGTGAGGACACAGGGATTGAATACCAAGTATCAGTTTGAAACACAAAGTGTATATTCTGGAATGAGTTCAACTATCTTACGAAGATAGTTTGTTTGTCCTATCCTAGAACAATGTTAATTGCTGTATACTGGATAGTGATTTATGAATAGTATCCCATTTGTTTATGCAATCTATTACTAAGAGTTTGAGCGTAGATTCTTATAGTATTGAACGGTGAAGGCCTAAATGTCTACGTTCAACGTCTGATTCTTATACTCTACACTCGTGGATAAGTAAAACTTATTGCACACAGCTACAAATCTGGAACCGCTATCTAACATCCAGTCTGAATAGATTAAAAAATATGGTTTTTCTCTGTGACAAGGGATATAGGTTGTTTATCTAGTTTTAGCATCGACATGGCCAAAGACTCAACATATTGACTATAAGGTTCTACAACCTTTGGCAGCCGACGCACGGTACTTTGCAGTAGTTTTTAATTCTTGGCTAACGATAACGCTTTGGAGAACTACGAAAGCCATCATCCAGAAAATACAGGTGTTTATTAACAGTTGTCTACGCAAAATACTTCAGGTCCATTGGCCGGACACCATTAGCAACAACGTACTGTGGGAGAGAACAAACCAGATCCCAGCGGAGGAAAAAATCAGGAAGAAGCGCTGGAAGTGCATAGGACACACATTAAGGAAAGCACCCAACTGCGCCACAAGACAAGCCCCCACATGGAATCCTGAAGGCCAAAGGAAAAGAGGAAGACCAAAGAACACATTACGCCGAGAAATGGAAATAGACATGAGGAAAATGAACAAGAATTGGAGGGAACTAGAAATGAAGGCCCAGGACAGAGTGGGTTGGAGAATGCTGGTCAGCGACCTATGCTCCATTGGGAGTAACAGGCGTAAGTAAGTAAGTAACGATAACGCTTAAATCATTGTATGTATGGACAACAGACAGGTCACTGTTATTCAATGTATATAAATATGTATATGGGTGACCATTATGCATCATAATGCACTTGGAAGTATTTATCGGCAAATGCCAAATTTTAGACCATTCAGAAAGTTTCTCCAGGTCATTTTGCAGTTCCAAACTATTAACTGAACTATATGTCGATGTCGACAGCAAATAAAAGAAAAGCCGCTGTCAATATGTTCGAAGGAACGATTATTATTTACAGCACTAGAAATCGTTGGGATTAACTGTAGGTCACTTGACGTTCTGTTCTTAAAATAGACAACTGAGTATTGGCGGCTTTTGTGCTCTCTAGGTCACTTGTCGAACTTAGGAAAGGGATTTCCCATTTGAAGTATCTTAACACTGGGAAATACGTGTTTCTAAATTGCTGGTAACATTTCCTATCGTTACAGTAACTATTAAGCTTGACAGTCAGAAGTAAACTAATTTTATAAATCGAAGTTATCTGTGGCAAAATAATTATTCATCTCAATAAACTTTGCCTTTTGTTATTGTTGTTAGTCAGTAATTAGGGGTTACTAGTAAGGATAATTATCTGTATTCCTTCTGTAAGGGAATATACATGTGGCTGAACAACCACATGTATATTTTTTAATATACTTAAAAATGTATATCTGGTAGATGATTATGTACCTTATATACTGTGTGAACTAGTTAAGTCGTTTTCTTGGTTTAGCATCGGTAGATAGCAGGGGTTTTGTAAAATTAAAATCAATATATTTGTGATCTATGTCATAAAATTCAAATGCCGAAAAATTCCCCCAAACTTTGGAGATTTCCCAAAATAGGGAAACTGGGCTAATTTTGAGTAATAAGGACACCAACTTCAGATAATACATTGAACAAACTAGTTAGCGGGGCGAGACCAATTTATGGGTGGACTGACCAGATACAACACAAATATTCCTGGATTATTTTGTTCGAAATCTATTTATACATTTGTTTGAAGAGCTTTTTGGCATTATAGCTAATGCTAGTTAATGATGGCATTCTTAAGGCAACTTTAGTTTCGCTCAAGGGTCCCCCATCAATTATGGTCTCACCGACTTCGTTCATATTTTTATTCATACAAATGTATCACCAAGTAAAACAGGTGTCAGCCCACAAAAACGATAAAATTTAATGTTTCGAAACGTACGGACACGTTTTAGTGATTATAAAAAACAAAATCCACCTAAAATACGTATATCTGACTTTCCGCAAATACAAGTTATCAACATTTTTCTATCACTTCACAATAATGTTCGTTTTCTTTTTCTTAAATTCTGAGTGAAGGAAACTACTGGTTAGATAAAAATGGCCCGTCAGTCGCGTGGATTGGAATCTAAAAGAGTGGTATGATTTTTAAGTAAAACTTGATGTATCTAAAAAATCGATAGACAGCTGAATTGTTCACTTTGACATATGGTGCTCTTGTTGCTAATATTGTTAGAGATTTCGATACAGATGCAGAAATTAATGAACAGTTGGACAAAATGTAAGCCGCCTAATTCATCTTATTAGATGTAATTTTCCTCAATTAGCGGATTTAATATTGGTCTAAAGTTGGTTGAAGACTACTTAGCGCGTGGGAATCCTGGTCGTTGTAACGATTTCAAAGAAACCGCTGAAGCAGTCGTGAAAGTAAGCAAATAACAAGACAGTTCTCGCTTGTTTATGTGATTGTTCACACTTCATCTTGTGAATATCTTAGACCAACAAGTTGATAAAGCTTTAACTGCTTTCAGGACGTGAGAATTGACCCTATGTTGCAGAAAAGAATAGTTTTATACTTTATTGATGGATGATATCTTTTAAGGTTGTTAGCATTGGCGAATAAAATCCTGACCGACAGATGGTGATCGATTATTGTAACACCTAGTCAACCATTAGTTACTCACGAGACTGAATTACCGACACTAACCATTGGATGAACTGATACATCAAAGCCAACTAGGCAGCAGAACAAGCTTTGTATTCAAAAAGAATCACGATGTCACTTGAAACATCAAATGAGTTAGTGAATATAATATTTTAGATCGCTTAATTTCTGATGAATTTGTAGACCGGGTTTACATTTGGGTTGCAAGACCTATCAAAAGATATGAGTCGCTGCAGAATTCGAGAATTAGAGAGTAGACGAAGTATGTTAGATAATAGCTCAAATTTTCTGCAATCAAGCTTCAGTTTTTTACGGTGTAAATTACACCTAGTTGGGATGTTGGCATTGAATTATCAATCAATAAAGCATTCTGTTAAGCAGACTATAATTTTTTACGGGATAAAACAGATAGTGAGCAAATATTGGATTTCAACTTAATAAGTCATATACATAAGTTGGAGGGTTGATAGTTTTCGTTAAAAAAACAGGAAAACCAAGGAGTCTGTAGATATATAGTTTATATTGTTTAATATTCAAACCTGCACTAGTATACAAAATAGAATCTGCGCTATATATTACGCTACTAAGACTGCTGTTATCTGTGACTTTTAAACTTACTGGTTGCAGTTTTTCAAATTTTATTTCCTGTTTTAGGGCTTCAAAATCTTTTTGGGTATAACTCCAACTATTTGTAAATTCAGTTCAGCTGGTGATGAATTCAGTCTTGTATTGGAGAATAATCCTTTGACAGAATTTGTTGATCTTCCTGCTGAACACCAAAACCTACTTTATTCCAACGTATTGGCTGGTGCGATACGTGGTGCTTTGCATAATGTAAGATATATACATGTGTTTATATATATATAAGAATACGTTAAAAGAAAGATAGGGACTGCCAAACCATGACTTAAAATCGGTCCATGAGCAATATACTTAGATATGGACATCTTGGTTGGGGTCAGAGCAATCATTATAACCAGCGATTGAAGACGTTGAGTGATATAGCTCAAAATTAGCTGTCATGGCTCATATACTTTTACTCTTTATCTTCGCATTTGTCTTGTTAATTACATCTCATTGTGCTAATACAGTATGATGACTGGGATCGATACACATCTGTACCGGGTTCCACGTTGCTTTCGATTGAATGACTAGTGAACTCTATTTCATGTGGGTCATTAATTTTCAGTGTAAATGTAACACATTCCTATAAGGCTTGAGTGTCCTGAGTTTGATTCCGTTTAGGAGGCTCGGGTTCATATTAATGAGTAAATTTCTGAACTTTAAATAAAATACTTGTTCATAAATCTGTAATTTACAACGTAAGTATTTTTAGCCACCTATTTTTCTTCCTATGAATCTCGACAATTCAGCATGCACTGAAGTAATATACAGTGTGATACTCTTTATTTAGATCCCTTATTCATTAGATGTTAGCATTAGTGACTGACACACTTGGTGTTTTTGCAATAAGTTTCTTTTCCACTAACGTAGTTAATATATATGTCGATAAATTATTAACGAAAAGCAAGTCGAAGCAATACAAATATTTATCTTATCAATATAGTTGATCGTAATACTAGATCAGAAGAGTTACATGCCTTTAGTTTCAGTCGGAAACCATGACGGAATATTATAAAAACAGTGAGTAGTGTTTGTGTTCATGTATACATGAGTTCATCATTAGTGTATCGGAAAGAATTTAACTCCTCAAGTTTGGTTATCCGAATCACACATAAGTTACGTAAATCTAGTTGGACAGATCAATACTATTAAATTGGCTGGGTAGTTCTCTTCGATGCTTATCGTTTATAATATTTACAGTTACTCAGCTCAAGAGGTTATTTATTATTTATTTATTTGAACACATAAATATTGGTACAAGAGGGCACCAAATATATATGCGCCACACAAAACAATGAGAATTCAAAGAGAAGGAAAAAAAGGTGAGGAGCGTAAAAAAAGAACGATAACGAACAGATTAGTGTAAGGTAGTGTAATAATAACAATAAAGGGGGAAACAGAAACGTACAATCAGAAGAGATTTTTCAGTTAAGGAAGAAGCAACCACTTTTTATGAAGAAAGTAAAAGAAGATTACAACAGGATCGCTTCTGGCTTCTATTCTGAGCCATATCTGATAACGTCTCTACTCGAAAATTAGATAGAGCCGAATTTCCACCATAGACAGGCTGCTGTATAAGTCGAAAAATAAGGATATACAGAGTGAGAATAAAAGAGAGTGAATAAATGACGGTTTGGGAAACCAATTAGTAACCCTAACTCTCACACATAAAGTGTGACTCAAAGCTAAGTATACGAACACGTACTGAATTATGCTACGTTCAATATTATGATGGATGTATTTTTTTTCCATAAAGTTGGGATATTGTTAATTAACGTGCAACAAAAAACTTTGTTAACTGCATACTGCAATTAAGAATTAAGTACAGTACACTCCAGTGTTTTTTATTGTTTAACTTTACTGATATTCTCTAAATTCAGCACTTCGTCTCTCATTATAAACACCTGATAACATTATCATACAAAATGCAAGGTCTCATGTAATATTACTACGTGGTTAACTTTGTTACTTTAACAATTAGACATTAGAGTTTTTAAAGCCCAGTAGATTAAACTGGTTTTACGATTGTAACACTGCATTTATTGATATATTGAATCCTTAATTTATTAAATACGTACGAAAAGTTTGCTTCCCTTACTCACCCATTTAAATAAATAAGTACACTCAATTTCCATCCACATTATGTAGTGGTTAGAAAAATAATACTCGATTGCGCTCGAAATAAAGTTGGTTTAACTTAACGAGTATCAGGTGGCGCGAAATCTAAATCTAAAGGATTACGGAGACTACCTCTAACCACCTAAAATCAAAAACATAGGGTTTGCGATGTTGAGTTATCTTAGACTACTGACCATACTGCAACATGAAAAATGCAATTTCGCTATCACTGAGGTCCAGTAAAACATGGTATTGATTACTACTCAATAATTGATCACCATACATATCTCATTCCTACAGTAAGTTAATTGAGGCCCAATTCATTTCGTGATAATATTTTCGATACTGAACAGTAGTAGGTTCAAATGTCTCAGGGAGCAGTTCACCTTAGGATAAGGATACGCTTTTCTGACGAATATCAATTCGCACAAAACCTGGGCCTTGAAAGCTTTTAATTTATTTTCATAGTTTATTTTTGTAATTTAATTTTTATATTTTATGCACAATCTTATTTAAGGTACAACTTGAAGTTGAGGCTCGATTTGTTCAAGATCAATTACGTGGTGATCAAATCAATGAGATACGCGTAAAATTTATTCGTCGTATAGAAGAAATTATTCAAGGAGATGATTAATTCATCATGTTTATTTTAATATTTCCAGTTCAATTTTATAAATATATTCACTGAATGTATTTTACGTTACATAACTTTTTCTATGAATTTATTCTTTGATAATAATAACAATAATGATTAAAAAATGCATTTTCTGTACTAAAACTTAGGAAAAATCTAATGGCTGTGTACAAATAAATACCATTCCTATTTTCCAAAGTGTTTTTATTTAGATTTTTCAAACTACTGAAATATATATTAGTAGGTGAATATTTTGATTATTTTAATATTTTCTAGCTATGGCCTTAAATCCACAATATTCACATACTACTACACCAATTATAGAAGCTTGGTTAATTAAAGCTCTTCGTCTTGTACATTCAAAAAAGTCTAGTGATCGTGATAAACTGCGTAAATTTTATAAAGAAGCTTGTGAAAATGAAGCACAAGTTGTACATATGACTATTGCTGAAGCTCTACGTGAACCTCGGGAGTGTATTACTACAAATTGTGATTCAAATGATGTAAGTTGCTTACAACTTTTGATCATATTTAAATACTAATTGTTCTGTGCTAATTATTCGTCTATATATTCATAATATGTCGATTTCACTTGCGCTACAGTGATATGAAAATCAAGGTTATTATCTTAAAGAGAGATAGAGCTCTCTTCAAGATAATATACGAAACTAAATGTATCAAAGTTATTACTTCGGTGAATTATCCTTATTTTATCGATGTCTACTAATATTTTGGGAAATCTTCCATTTTTAACGGTTTTCTTTAGAAAATCACCTGTTTATGTAATTTATTATATCTTCAACTTCCCCTCATATTCATATATCCTAATCTAGCGAGATACATCCACTTCTACTCATTCTACGCAACGAACTCGTGTAGCACAATCCGTAAATGATCCAAGCCAATCTACGTCTTCGTCCATTTGTACAACAACCACTAATAACATAGTTACGAGTGAATCTATGAGTTCAATGAATACGAATAGTAGTGGAACTTCAATGTTTACTACTACATCCACTTCTAATCCTGATCAAATTATAAGTTCCACTACTACTGCTACCACTAATAATAATATTACTTCTGGTATACCTACTTCACCAGTGATTGGAACTACCACGCATACTTCAAATTCAACTACAAATCGTGCAAATAAACGTAATAAAGTGGCATTTTTCAATATTTTTGACGTTGCTTCATCGACACCCAACAACAGTTCCATATCGAATACTCCGGTAGTGTCAAAAAATAATACGGCACAACGATCTTTAAACCAGTTAGATAATACATTATCAATCGAGTCAGTTGGTATGTTGTAATCTTGAAGTATATTTCGTCTTTTTTTTCTTTTAATTTTTCATTATCGAATTAATGTTTATTGATTTCAGTGGTAGTCTTTGTTGTTGATATGGTGACGAATATTTGTAGCGTAGAATGAGGATTTCGAAGGTGCTTTGCTATTTTTTTTTGAGCTTCATGGCCTAGTTATCAAGTTTTTGTTGTCTTTCTTGATAACATATATTAGTAAATGTTTCAAAAATTCTCTATCATGAAAATTCTAATTCACTGTTAGGAATTTATCGTATTCGGTGCGAAACTTAAAATTTTTTTACTCGATTTTGTATTGAATCTCTCGCTTCTCTTTGGAGTCCTGTATCGGAATGATATAACCGTTCTAGATTAGCGTCGTTTATGTTTGATTGTATAGTATAGTTTTATTGTTTCTTGGAATCCGTCAAAAACACTAAGGGGGTAAGAATTGTTTTTTTAGTATGATTACAGCTCTCTTCAAGATATAAAAGATAGTGTAAATTACTTAAAAATTGGTAGCCACTTATTTTTTTAGAAACTAACTCCTATCTTATCTAGTCTTACGCTATGAACGGTGAAGTATTTTTGGTAACGATCGTCAATAGAGGAGGGACTTATTTCTATATTTAATTACCAAGTATGATTTTATTGGTTTCGTTACATGGAGGAACGATGGTCTCTATCTTTCCTTTTAGACAATGTCATCGCAGTGGTATACAAAAGTAACATTTAAATATATCTCTGAAAGCAGTAAACTAGTCAATTCTCTTGAACTTCAGTGAGTGATGATAAAGTGTAGATAAAGCACTCTGGTTAAATCACTAGTCTAAACGTCGTTTCACCTACTTTCTTTTGGTCAGCTGGATAGTATCATCAGATTTCATATGCACAGAAAAAGGTATAACTCTAAGTTGAATAGAGAAATCTTTATTTAATAAATTAATTAAATGAGTTTAACTTACAATAAGATTACACAATTGTTTTATCAGACCTTTCGGATTGAAGGGTTAAATTATCAGTTATGGTGGGTTTTAGGCTAAAAATGCGTTTCACTTATCTCCATGTTGGCAATAACCAGGTACTAAAAGTAGCCCTCTCTTTAGATGTAAGGTGGTTAAAGGTAGTTGACAGGAAATTCTGTACCTAGGTTCCGTGCTAACTGGAACTTGTCAATAGGACATACTTCCAATCTTGGGGGAACTGATGCTCTCGGATAGGTTCGAGCTCGTGTCGCCCGGTTTTACAATGTGAGATATTACTAGTAAACTATTTGTACGGCGAATGGCCCGTTGTTTGACTGAGATATGTACAACTGATTAACCATTGTCATGTTTATCTATTCCTCGAGCACTGTTTGTATTCTATTGAATACATCGCATGGACTACTAGCAGTAAAAAAAGGACTAGGCAAACATAAAATTGGTCACTCACCACTCAGTAATCATTCATTTGTAAACAACGTGTTCTCATACAAAAAAATATGATTTAAACCCTACTATAAAAACTTGTATCTAGTCATTCAATCACATCAATTTAATGTAAAAAAGTACGTACTTGTGTGTTTTCATAACACATGTATGTATTTAACTGTTTCTAGATTTTAGTAATACAACAATTCAACTATGTACTATTTCTTCAATAAATGATGATAATCAAGAAATAACAACGGATTCAGTGATAGGCAACACTGGAACAACTAATAACATTTCAATGCATTCTAATTTATCTAATCCTATTATAGATCTTACATTTACAGATAATGAAACCGCGTCGATTTCGTCTTCCTTGGCTATCAATACCACCGCGTCTGCTAATACTGTTGCTGTTACTCTGCCTTTAAGTGAAGATAAACAAATGGCCACTGGGAAAGTGATGAATCCTCCTATTGTGAACACTACTACTACTACTAGTACCATTATTACTACTCCAACTACTTATATTCCTACAGTGTCATCAGTATCACTGCAGCCACCATCACTTTCTTCTCCTGTTGTTACAGTTATTGGTGCGTTGACAAAATCAAGTCAAGATAATTCTAGTTTTAATACTAATACTACTACTACTAATAATAATAATAATGCACGTTTATTGGCTGCAAGTCTAGTCGCAGATCTTGTATGTCGTCTATGTGGTCGTCTGTCACAACAACCACAATTAGAACCGGACAATAAAACACTGAATGCAAATGTACTAGTGGAGTGCATCAAATGTGGTTCATTATATCATCAATTATGTCATCAACCATTAATATTAATGTCAACACCCAAACAACAATGGTTATGTATAAATTGTTCCATCACTACCACTACTAATACAACTATTTTCAATCCTTCATTTGTATCATCAGTATCTGCGTTAACATCATCAATATCTTGCACAGCTACATCGTCTTCGAATTCTTCGCTTACTACTTTAGCAATATCAGCTAATTCAACATGTGTTAATAGCATGTCAACCGATCCTATGATACCGTGTAGTGTAATACAATCTGATGGGGATATTTTATCGAAAGATGTAACAATGATTACAGATAATAATAATAGTAATAATAATAACAATAATAATAATAATGAGTATTCGTTCTCATCATCAACACATCATTCATCTGTAGTTTTATCTAATCCAGTTCACTTTCAGTCTCGAGAAACAACTTCAACTGTTATAACACCACAAACATCATCATTACCAGTGTGTACTTCTACTTCTGCTACTACTAACAATTCTATTACTACCGTTAGTTTAACTACATCTGCAAGTACAGTCAATGTTGGTGCACGTAAACGTAAACCGGCATTCACAAGTTCATTATCTGGTCTACCTCGTAAATTAAAAGATGATTACAATTGATTTACTATCCTTCTTTTCTTATTCCTCAGAATTTAAATTTGGAGAAATGAATATTAAGTTTAAATTTTACAAAATAATGTACAATTACTTTCTTTTCTTTTTAATGTTGTGAAATACAATAAGACAATTGTTTAATATTCTGCGTTTATTTTTCTTCATTGTCGGTGCTAAAGATTGCAATTGATCAGTCACTTTTTGGCATATGTGTATCCTGAGCAGATCATCTTCATATTGCCATCAATCACAAACATGTTTGAGCAGAAATAGGAGTGGCTGGGAAAGAAGATTCAATCCTTTACAACTGGACTATGGTTGATTCTTGCTGTATAACCCAGTGGCTATTTAAACTCAATATCTAAGTGGACAATTCGTTGACATTCAGAGCGAAAGGCACTAGCTTCGAGTTCTGAAATAAACATTAACACCAAGACCCAATTACATCCAGCTATAAATGAAATGCGCGTCTTGAATGTCACTACAAGTCACATTGGATCTCTTCTTGAAAAAGATTTTTTAAAATTGTTCATAGTACTTTTTAGGTACAGATAGAACGTCGTTTGTCTTACGAGTTCAGCTTTTAGACTGGGTTCAGTGTTGAGGTCATTGACATTAGTTGAACTGTCACAACTGTGTCCGTGTCGTCCCATGATATCTTCATATCCGATGTTTTTCATTCCGGCTTTTGCGTTTAGGTCTCCCATTAAGATAGTAGGGTCCTTTCCTGGGCACTTTTCTACAAGCGACTGCAGCCCCTCATAAAACTGGTCTTTATCGTCATCATTGATAACATTGGTGGGTGTATAACACTAGATAGCATTCAATGTGATTCCCTCCTTTATTTTGAA